GGAAGCAGTACACTGCAAAACTTACAAACGGGATGTGTGATTTGGAGCAAACCAAATCAATAATCCCTATCCAGTGCTTTTAACGACTAAGTTTTATCTGAACCTGTGATCAGCATTGCATGTCTGCCCTTATAATTTTCTTAGTTTCTTAATAGTTTTGTTAATATTAATGGTGGGGAATGTATTGTTCTTTGTCCTTTTCTTTTCCTTTTTATGTGTGAACGTTATTTTCTTTTTCCTCTCATAAATTTCAGTTTTGAGTCAGCACTCGTGTGAGCTGTCTTTTTTCTTCGTCCTGTCCTTTGTGCACTGTTTTTCATCAGGACGAATAATGCTTACCATGATGCCAGCGGTGTATATACAGATGTCCAATGTTGCCAGTACGTCTTTCTCTTTTCCCACAAGAAGAACTGAGGTAATTAAAAAGCAAAGTGGTAACATTAAGCATCATTAGTAATCACACCTAGTTGCCTCGGTGGCATCGAGGCAAAGCACCAGTCTACGGACCCCAGAGGTGTCGGGTTCTGATCCCGGTCAAGGTGCCTGCAATCTGGGGGAGGCTATTCGCAGAGAAGTGTAACCAAACTTCAGTTGCACGTCGGAACATCCCCGGGTGATCTAAATTATTTAATCCTTGTCCTCCGTCGCAGCATGCGAGGTGCCCTTTAGTGTGGCACGTAAAAACCCAAAATGTTTTTGTAATCATACCATATATCTGAGCTAGGCAGCCTTCTTCGCTACGATGGTGGTCTTGTAGTGACCTGGCTCAAAGCTACAGGGACACCTTCAGAAATGACTGCTCGGGCACAGCTGCCCCTCCCGTTGGCTGCAGTGCTGTTGCGCCCCTCACTCCACTGCAACCCGTCAGCTTGGACACATTCCAGGTGCAGTTGTCGCTCAAGATGTGGGAACTTGGTTCGTGGGTGCCCGTGATCAGCATCGGTTCTGTCTAGCATGGTGCCCCATTCGTCGAAACGTTGGGCTACCAATTTCACCAGGCTCGAAGATAGATGGCTTGGCCCCCCTCTTGATATCTGTGTAGCGCTCTCAATAGTTCTACCCCTGCTGCACTCGTGCCCCGAGATCGGCGAGAGCAGGGACAGGGTTCACAAAGAACCCCGACGAAAGGAACTCCACAATGTCCAGTCGGGACCGAGGAACACGAACATGTTGGAGCAACTGGTACCTCCACTAGGGCATGATTCGTGCACCTGTACATGCCCAGGTACTCGAGGATGGCCACTTCGTGAGGTCGATGGTCCAGAACCGCCAACTGATAAACCTCCTTCAAAACTTAGTTGAACCGCTCAACCTGGCTATTACATTGTAAGACGAGCAGCAGTGAAGGGGGGGGGGGGGGGGGGGGGGAATTTCACGCTTTTTTAAAAGTCTTCAGACAGGAACACACTTTTTTAAAAGTCGCAGACAGGAACTAAGAACCACATCCGGGTAGCTTTCCCAGCTTAACGTACTATAGAAAAAATGCATTGTCGCCCACGGCGTCACTACCAATGCAAACTATACATGTGGCCACTGAATAATGATCTACCAAGGTTATGGCTTACTTTTGTCCATTCCCTGTTGTGAATGGCTCCACAATGTCAATTGCCAGCTTCTGCCAGGCCCGTTCTGGAAGTGGTATTGGCTCAAGTGGCACAGTTACTAGGTTTTGCATACTCATCGGCACGCAGGTGCTCGTTTAGTTTCCGGTGACCTGTCGAGGCCCTGCCACCAATACCACTTGCGCGGCCTCTTCTAGGTCATGACGACCCCAGGGTAGGTCTTGTGTGCCAGCTCAGTCACGGTGGCCATCACCAATGCAGGGATGACCATTTGTTCTCCTTGCAGCTGTAAATTGACCCCAGTCCCCGCTTCTCTTGTACTCGAAGAAATTCAAGTAAACTTTAATCTAAGCTGCTCTTCTCCAGCCGCTTGGTAGACACATCCCTTATGACAACCTGTAGGGTGGTCCTCGTGCAAGGCTTCCTGTAGCCACTGCTTTGGGGTGAACGATGACACAAAGAATGCTCCTTATCATGACCTGCAGACAATGGCAATTCCTTGAGTCTCATGGTACCGATGACTTAGCAATGACTTCTACTTTAAATTCAAGGGGAGTTACTCCTTGCGCAGTGCCCCAGGCAGTTGAGTGTTTCACGTTGAACTTGCACTTCTTGCGTACTTGGAGTCCAGCAGTAACAACGTAGTGTTGGACCTCCCACAGATTTTCCCGGTGTTCTGCTTTGTCAAACACAATCACATTGTCAATGTAGCGAAGCACCCCTTTGCAGCCCATTCTCCGAAAGGCTCGGAAGGCAGCGTCGGCCTGAGACACATCTTTAGAAACCGGAAAAGTCCGTCGTGTGTGAGAAATGTTGTCAGGTCCCGGCTGTCTGTTGCCACTTGAACCTGATGGTAAGCTGAGGCCAAATCCAGCTTGGAGAAATGTGTCGATCCTGCCAGCTGATGGAGTGGTTCCTCTATAGTTGTGAATGGAAATCCATTCACTATGACTTGGAGTCTCTTACTGCACCGCATGTTCTTACGCTCAGCCCCAGGTTTGCTCACCCACCGAGAAGAAACTTTCTTATGGATGGTCATTGCCCTGCGGGTCTGCCCCTTGATCCTAAGACAGAGGGCCTTCCAAACACAAAACACCGCCTGGAGCATTCAAAACACAGACACCGACCTGTCCGCTTGTTTCGTAAATTTCAGGAGGAGGCAAAGTGCCTCCATCTACATCGACCCCCCAAGAAGCCATTCCTTTTTACAGGAAGATTCTGGGGTCCCTTATCGAGTACTGTAAATGCTTGAAGGAGTAGCGTGGTTGGCCTGGCGGTGGGGCCATAGGAAAAGGGAAGCCTGCTTCAAAAAGACTTAAGTGCGCAGGCGAGCTGGTAATAGCTCATCATGTCGTTTAACACCTTTTAAAGGTGTTTAGACATTCCCATTTTAAAACATTCCCTTCTGTGTCTGTTCCTTCGACTAAAAGCATTTTCCCTTTTCTAAAAGCAAAGCAAAGACTAAAAGCATTTTCCACCTGTGTATCAGGGCCAGGGTTAGACTCAACATTGCCACTACACAGTAGGATAGATAAACACATTTTATACCGAGATAGTGAAACAGAAATAATGACAGCAGTCATCAGACTTATAAATATCATACGAAGAAACAAACTCTATCTGTAGGGTGAAGTAGAAGAATTTAAGTGGCGTGTTCATCCTGCTGCCACCTAGCCCACTGAAGAGAAATGGTTCTTTCAATGTTTTTATGGCATCTGCTGGATGTACCATAGGATCCCGAGTCATCGCCCACCCCTTTGCCACCTGAAATTCATAAAGTGGACTGGGCCATGTCTCAATAAATAAGCACAAAAAAAAAGAGAAGCTATAAAAACGTTTATTTCTTTGTACATATCTAGCGCAACTGCACGAAAGATGCGTTGAACTCAAAACTCAAATTAGTTTTATTGCTTTTTGTAAAAACGCTTATGAAAGAATGTTTTACTGTCGCTACGTATGTTGCTTAGATACGCACAATGAACACACAACTACTACACAGGACAGGACGGCCCTGTGTAGTAGTCGTGCATTCCCCGCACCCCCACGCTTTCTGCTTTGTCCCATTTCCATTTCATTTGTCCCCTTGCTGCCAGACCCACTTAGAGAATTTGAAGGATGCCGTCGTTTCTCAAGTTCACATGCTTTCTCTACTTAAAAAAAACCTCTAAAAGGAAAATAAAAATTTTTTTTTTAACAATCTGGTTGGGACATGCATGTCAAAAAATTAATTTTCTGGGAAAAAAAAAATTTTTAGGGCAATATTGACAGCGCAAGACTCAATTTAGTTGGCAGTCACCTTTTTTCCGAAGGTTGTTTTCTCTCTCAGCAATTAGGGCACGTGGAGGAGAGGTGGATCGGCTTTTCCTTCACGACTGAGATGGTCATTCCGAAATGACCGGTGACGTCATGGGCTTCGCGCGCAAGATTTCAAATAAATCTCGCCGTCACTATAGCTCTAAACAAATTTTTTTTGCCTAAAATTTATTTTTTGATTTGCCTATCCCAACTATTTTGTTGGTATGGCCCGCGACAAAGTAGCGGTCAAGTTAGAAAAAGAACGAGTGGCAGGAAAGGGATGCGGCCGCGCATTAGCGAGCTTGTGGGATGCATTTCATAGTGGCGAGCGACAGTACTTTTCTGTGGTTGTTTACATTCGGGCACACCTTTGCATCGGCTTTGCCCATTCGTGATGTAGATGCCCTTCGCCTTTTGTTTGCCCCATTTCCACGCTTCGAGCGCACCTTTGGGGCTCCCTGCCGAGTACGGGCGAGAATGTTGCACCGTGAGCCGGCCAGCTGGGGATCGGTTGGCGTGCACGCTTGCCGAGATGCTGTTGCCGCAGCATCGGCTTGTGCCGTCCGTGATACGATAACCGTCACCGTGTCGCGGACGGCACATCAACATTTTAAAAAGCTCTCGCATCCAGCTATACTGTACTTGGTTTCAACTACAGAAGCAGCTGACGCTACGAGCCGATGGGAGCAATCGGACAGCGTCAAAGCGTCGTCGCAAGGGGTAAACAAACAGATTGGAAGAGGATGGTGCAACAACAGGTGCTCATATTTGTTTAGAATAACTGCAAAGGTATTTATACGGGCCTTCAATTACATACTGGGAAATGAAGGGCTAAATGCCATCTTTAGTAGCTTCGTCAAATGTGGCAGCGCAAATTCTCAGACAAAGCACTTGGTTGGCCTCCCCTTGGATATGACTGAGTGCACAACCTACAGAATGTAGCGAGTCCACTTTGAGGATTACATTGTGTAATTCTGTTGCATTTCCAACTGTGCCGAGCTTGCACAACGGAGTTTTGTACATTTTCTCTTTTGATAGCTTGAAGACTTGCTTCGTACGGATATTTTTGTCCTCCGACAGGCCTGTAACCATTGAGGTTCTGCTGTAGCCTGGTCGCCGGTGAAGTGATGTGGCCTTTTACAGGAGACGGGGCGTCCGTTCCCGGCCGACGAGAAGATGGACGCCTCCGAGATTGAGTGCATCCGCATGGGCACGACGGTGGCCACCAACGCCCTGCTGGAGCGCAGGGGCGAGCCCACTGCCCTGGTGGTCACCGCTGGCTTCAGGGACTTGCTCTACATCGGCAACCAGTCTCGGCCCAACCTCTTCGACCTGGTGGGTCGACTCTCTGATTTAGGCTCGGTCGCGTTTGTTTCAACTTCGAATTACTCCGAGGACCGCCGAGCTCGGGGCTGGGACTTTCGCGTTAGAGAAATTATTCTCGGGGAGGTGTCAGTCTCCCATTAAAGGGACACTGAGCTCCCCAAAACGACACATTTTTTAATCGCCTTTATTGGGCGTGTTAGATGCGTGGCTATTAAATAATGAATGTAGTGGAAAAATTGTGGCTTAATATTAGTGCTAGCCCCTTTGATCCCCTATCTATTTGCCATTGCACACAAATTTTCCATTATTGGAAACAGTTCTCCAGGTCATTGTGTGTCAACCTTTTGGACTTTCCAGTACAATCTGAAAATGTAGACAGTGGTGCACTGGAAAACTCCGTCACCGAGAGGGAAAGTGGCGAGGCAAGAACTGTGGGCGAGGTAAAGGTGAAGACGGGCTGACACATGACCCGCAGCATTGTTTCCAACTATGGAAAAATCATGTGCATTGGTGTCAAGAGAGGGAAGTATGTTTAAGGGGATAGCAGTTATGTTGTAGGATTGTCATAATAAACCACAGTTATGCCATAAACTGAGCTTTCTCCAAAAAAAACATCTTTTCAACCGAGTAGTTGCATCTCCACACATATTTTGAATTGGGAGCAACTTTGAGTCCTGCTTGACGTCTTGAAATAGAAGCATGTTTTGGAACTGCTTCTAGCGCTCGTGACGTTGATATTGGGCTAAGCCCTTTTATGTTTCTCAGGGGAGGGGGAAATCCCACTTTGGCTACGTACATGTCATATTGAAGCTCTTTCAAAAGTATTTTTTGGAAGTTGAGGGTTTCTTTTATGGGGGACTCATATGTACCCTAAAAGCTGATAAAAATAATAAAAGAAAAGTAAAAACACTAGATAATGTAACTTCTTAGGATGAAGGTTTGGGCGAGTTGGCTATTCAGGACTTAAGGGTAACGGCACAAAAGATAACTCACACATTCGGACCACATGCACGCCATCAGAAAGGAACCTCTCATGCCTTGCTGACTATTGTATTTTTGTCTTCTTCCTTTACACCGATAAAATTTTTAAAAAAAGAAGCGGATATAGCTAAGTGATTTCAGATTCCCGTTGACTTTGTTATAACCAATGGCGTACCAACTTGTTTTTGAGTGGGGGGGGGCAAAAACAGACCACCCCCTCTTTTCAGGGCCGGGGGCCGGTGTCTGTGGTATCCCTTGGGCTCTGCCGGCCAGTGTTTTTCCCTACCCAGTGGCGGCTGTTTCAGGGGGGGAAAAACACATGCCTTGCCCCCCCATTATGAGAACTGGGGTTGCAAGTGCCCCCCTTGCCCCCCCGGTTAATGCGCCCATGGTTAAAACCTATCTTGACAGTATACATCGTTGACAAAAATAGGCTGAAGAGATAAAAGGTAAAATTTTCCAAGAACGCCCTCCCCAAATGAAGAGATAAATGTTGAAAAACATGGGATGGGGGATGTGACAGCGAAACTTTATAAAAAATAAGTGATAAACACCGATGCACCCGCTACAAACAACGTGACATGGGAACTGATAGCGCAAATTGTGGACACGGAAAATTCGCGTTTCGCGATGCGATAAAACACGCTGGACTTTGCTACAAGCTCTCGTGTCTTTGCTACAAGCTCTCGTGTTACGGTAAAGGATACTGCAGATTGCGGACAAAAACACGGACACCCGCTACAAACTCACTTGCAAACGCACCGGCACCACAGATCACGTGGTCAATGCTATTCCCATTGAACATCGCGCGACGTCCGACGGGAATGGGGGGTGGCCAATGTTCCGGAATTTTTATGTTACAGATATTCAGCCAGAAAAAGTGGGGTGGACAATCATTCGGGGGTTGCGCACCCCATTGCAGGATTTTACGGTAAGGCAATTCTACAAAGGCGGGGCAATTTAAAATCAAAGGTGATTCTTCCGCGAGGGAAACAAATAAATAAACGAGAGCAGCAAATGTATATTCACGAAGTTTACGCAGCCATAGTCGCTGACAGAGTGAGAAGGCCTCAGTGTTCCAGTGAGAGCCTCCACTTTGGACGTTGCTCGGGCGTCTCCCGAGCCTCGATCGTGCACGTGCAGCCAAAGCACGGCAAAAAGCAACAAGCACGGCCCGGACGCCAAGCAATAGAGAGACGCCATGGTTGCCTCGTTGGTCACTAGGAGGTACTACAGTCGCCGACCGATTTTTCGGACTTTGCAGGGACTGAGAAGATGTCTAAATAGTAGAGCAGTCCGCGGCAGATCAGAAATCTTGTCTTCATTACGTCTAAGTGGCCTTCAAAAAGCCGTCAATAGGGCCTCGCATCAGATTGCGTCTCCGCTTGCATTCGGCCACTTTCTTCTAGCTTGAGAATCGCCGCTTTCTTTTCTAGCGCCGTGGTTGAGTACTTTTCGCGCTTCTTAGCGGTGGAAGAACAGACGGGGCCACGATGTCCAAGCCAGCGTAGTTTGAAAACATGATTCACCGAGACGAGATGAAATGCGAGAGTCTACGACTGCAGAATGGCGAGTGAACGAAGCCAAATGGTAACAATGATGCATGATGATTGAACTTTCGGACTTGAAGCTCTTTGAAACATTGGTCGTATATATCTATTTGTATCGGGTAGGTCACGGTTCCTCCTTTAGGTTCGAAATATCGAACGAGTCCGAATTATCGGTGTCCGAAAAATATGTCGGCGGCTGTATATCGGTTTTTAAAAAGAGTCGTTGTACGAGATGTTTTCCGGTGGGGGAGCGTGTTGGGAATAGGTTGCTCTACCGGCCTCTAGACGGTGGTTTTAAAAGCGCAAAGGAATAAGAAGAGAAGGAGGGTACAGGACAGAGCGCTTACTTACAACTGTCAAATTTATTAGAGCATCTAGAGAACGATAAGGTGGATGTGAAAAAGAAGAAAATTAAAAAAAAATAAAATTAAAGTCACTGCTGCTACAAAGAGCATATTTGGTTTTAAAATCGGAGCAAAAATATTTTAACTTTAGCTGAAGGCAAAGTGCTTGTCACGTAAAAAAACTGTCTATTAAACAAAAAAAAAAAAAAAAAAAGAAAAAGAAAAATTGAAAAGAAGAAAAAAAGAAGAGCAACCTGCTAAAAAGTTTTCAGTCAAAACACCGCTAGAAATGAAGTTCTTTTTGGTTTTCAAGTGTTTAGGGGAAACACCGAAGGAACTGAAGTTCTTTCTGTGTTAGGGTCACTGATGGCGCGCTTATACACTTGTCGCCACTGGTGAGGATGACTTGAGCCTCGTACAGCTCTCTAATGTTTTTGTCACGGAACTGCTTCAGAACTTTGGTGTTGTTGAATGTTGGTGAGCATTTGCAGTCTCTGACATGCACCGCAAGATGTCCCGATGGTTCTGATTTCAGTGTTTGGGCATGTTCTCTTAATCTCGTATTAATACGTCGCCCCGACTGACCTACATACACTTTGCCGCAAGTAAATGGTATTTGATATACCACTCCACTTTGACATTCTACATACTTGAGTCGATGTTTTACACTGCACTCTTGCTGTTCATGCTGCTGGCAATTGACCTTAGGGCAGAGCCCTTTTAGTTTGCCCGGAGCTGAAAGCACGACTTGGACTTGAAACTTCGCGACTGTTCTCTTCAAGTAGTGGGACAAGCGGTGTATATATGGCAGAAGGGTCGATCGGTGTTTCTTGTGTTTTTCAGTGTCATGTTTTTTATTTGAGGTCATCAAGGACTCGGCGACGTCATATGTTATCGAACTCAGATATCCGGACGCTTTCAGTTTTTGTACTTGAGCATCGAAGCTTTCCCCCAATTAATTCTGATGCTCTACCGACCCCCGTTGCAGACATGCGCCCAGCCGGAGGTGCTGTACGACCAAGTGGTGGAGGCGGAGGAGCGGGTGGTCCTCTGCCGCAGCGACTGCCAGCTGGACCTGCCTTCGGCCAGGTGCCAAGGAACCACCGGCGAGACGGTGAGCCGCCCGGGGAGGCTCCCACGGGGGGAGTTTCCTCGAGTGCCCCGGGTTCCTGCCACAAAATACTCAGCAGGCACCTGCACTAAAGCCTTGGTAACTGGGAAAAGAGTGAGGATGTAAGGACGGTTTGCTCATTTGCATTTGAGTGTGCTCTTGCGTTACATTTCCTCGTAACCGCTCGACGACTGGCGCCATCTGTCAGTTGCCCTTGAACAGTTTTGACTATGTATATATTTCTTTCATTTTTTTCGCGTCCTTTTTCGCCGGAAGCTCTAAATAATTCTGGCAATGTTGCAAACTAATATTTCCGAGATTGTGCGGATATGGAATCTCGCAAATACCGCTAAACCTTTAGTCGTTGGCGATTCGAAAGTTTTCCGATGCTAGCCAGTGGATGACTTGAGTGTGCCGGCGTGTTGAGAGGTTAGGGGGCATCGGGACGCACTTGAGCGCACTCAGATGCAAATCTGTGAAGTAACCTGTGGGTCTGAGAGCAGAGAAGCACAATATGGTAAGAAAGGCACCTCTTTGAGTGGCCGGGCTGCTCTTGTTAAGCCTACTTGGTGCCGGCGCTCTTGAGTCGAGTTCTACCGTCTCGCACCGACGCACGTGCGTAACGCTTCACCACTTTGCACTACCTTCTCGGAGAGTCAGAGGAGCACCTCGACGACCTCGGCGAGCTGGGATGTATGCTGAGGTGGCCGCCTGCTATGCCCTATGCTTTTATTTGAAATATCTGAAAAGTGGGAGGTAGAAGCTTCGGTACAAGACTGAACAGAAATGGACACATATTGACGCTGGCTTTGTGGAAGTGTTTGATAAAGCACTCCTCAATGTACACATTCAAGGTCCTAAGCAGTCTGGAGTAAGTTGCTTGCAAGATTCATTGCAGTTAGTTTCTTTAAGGGGGACACGGGCGTGAAATCGCGATTTTTCGGCAAAAAATGGCATTTCTAGTTTTAATTATTAGGGATCAACAACTTGTAATGCTCTCTTTTCTAAAGTTTTATAGCGATATCTGCAATATTTACGGAGAAATAAAACTTTTTTGACGAGCCGACGACACTAAAATTGGATGTTTCACGAACGCGAGACCTCATTGTTTACAATTTTCAAATCGCCGCAGCTCCGCACCAGTTAAGCACGATCCGCACGATCATTTTACTCTTGTTTAAACGGAATTTCTTCATGGTCCCGATACGGTAAGTCCTTTCATATGAAAGTAAACTATGCACGGTTGAGAATCCTGTAGAAATCCAGCTTTCACGTGCACAGGAATCTCAGTGCCCATTCTGACTGGACAAAATATAGAGGAGACTTGAAAGAAAAAGAAAATTGAACCAAGAAAATAGAAACTAGAAAGGGGATTGTCTTACTGCAAGTCAAGTGGGTTTGTCTGCTTTTTTTATTGTTGGCGCCCGTCATGCTCGCCGTTGCTGATAATCTGTGTATCGAAAGTGCATCAGATTTCTCGCTCTTTTCGCGATCGATGTTAACATGCCAGAAACGAAACGACACTCAAAGGGAGCCTTTAGATCTAGCTCTTACTTGGCAAAGCCACGCAGCTTTGCCAAGTGAGAGCGAGATCCAAAGGCTTCCTTTGAGTGTCATTTCGGATGGGCGCCGCTCACACGGACCTACTCAAGTTGCGCCATCGTCACATGCCTTCCGAGCGAAGGGGATCGCCGTTGCCGCCGCCTGGCCCATCTCTCTCCGCCCAGATAGCTTTACCAACGGAGCCTGGATCTTTAACCTCGAAGGAGAATGAACCGCAGGAAGAGGAAAATCTGCTCACGGCAATCGAGCGAAAGAACGCGCTGCTCATGGAAACGTGCTTCGACGAGGTCCTAACAGAAGAGGCAGCCGTCACCGCAGATCTGTTATGGGTATCCCTTGATTGACGTTCGTGCGATCATGAACTTAGTATGCTGTCTTCTTTGCCCAAATTGCTTCAAGCCAGACCTCAAGCTTATGTGGTGCAACAAAGGAGTGCTCCTTCAGTTGTGAATGCCCATGCTGTGGGGACATCCTAGATTCTCCACATTCGTCAACAAACGAGGATACTTGTCGAAATGAGCTTGCTGCACGCATTGTTCCGAGTTTCCGGGATTGTGGTATTGGCCACACTAAACTGAGGAACTTTTTTGCGCAGATGAATGTGTTGCGACCGATCCACCTCAAGTCATTTCAGGAGCTCGCTGTCAAAGTTCATGATGCGTCGATGTTGGCGGCAACTGCTTCTATGAAGCAAGCAGCGCAAGCAAAGCAGACCCGTTCCGGCACAGAAAATGGCAAAGATTTGTTAGACGTGTGTGTGACCTTCGACAGAATGTCGCATAAGCGCAGCCAAACATCGCATTTTGGTGTCGGTGTGGGGATAGAGCTGCAGACTAAACGTGCTGAATTTCGCTTCATCAATAATTACATCCACGGGTGTTCACCTGGCCTAAAAGAGGACTCTGACGAGTATGAGGCGTGGCTTGAGAAGCCTCAGGTGCCAGAAAAACTTTGGTGGATTAGCAGTGAAGATCTTCAGTCGCTCCATCGCACGTGGCCTGCAGTACACAAGGGTCCCCTGCGACGGTGATAGCAACTCATACACCAGTGTTGTTGCCCTGGACCTCTAGGATTCACAAATCCACAAGGAGCACTGCGTAAATCCGGATGTACGCCACCTTGGATATCCTGAAGAAATCCACAAAAGTGCTGGGAGGCAGGGGCAAGCTTACAGTGTAGTTATGAAGAAACTCTTCAACTACTATATACGTGCACTCAAGGACGACGCCCCAGATGTCAGGTGCATGCAACGAGGAGTGATGGCAAGTCTTACGCACTCACTCAAAAGACGAGGAGCCACGACACGTTGTATGCCCAAAAGGGGAACAGTCATGGTGCCATTCTAATCGTCACCTGGCCCCAAAGGCAGCATGAAAGCCATCCCAGCCAAAGCCTCACCATCCATCCTTCTCTAGAGAGGTGGCCAAGCAGCTAGTGCACATCTACAATCGCCTCGTGCACAAAAGACCTGCTGCTAAGACGTTTCAGAATGGAGGTGCAGAACACAAATGAATTGGTCAATGGTCTGATGTTAAAGTGCTGCCCGAAGACAGAGTTTGCGTCTCAAAGAGCAGTTTAGATTTCAGTTGCTTTGGCAGTGCTGCAGTGGAGCTGAACTTGGGGCCCAAGGGCTTTGAGAAGGTGCTCACAGAGCTCAGCATTAAGCTGGGGAGCCACCAAGAACAGCATTTCTTTGAGGCCACATGGGCCAAAATCAGCAAGTCTCAACTGAAGGCGCATTGGTCTTCCAAACTGGCCCAGAAGCGGAGGAAGAAGGAGGCCATTGCCAAGGTGCAGCAGGATCTGGCAGTGGAAAGTACCACCTTCACTCCTGGTGCCTCCTAGGTGCCACCACCTTTGGAACAATAAAGTGTGGTGGTATGGAAACTTGAAGTTGCTTTTTCTATGTTTCACTTTTTTTAGCTCCAACTTCATCTTAGGAAATTTATCGTTTTAATGCATCACAATATTTTCTCATCATGAAAGATGTTTCTGAACTGAAATTTAACGGGGAGTGCGGCTATCTATTTATGTGTTAGTTTAATTCGAGTCCTTATTTTTAAAAAAAGATTTTGGTGAGCAGGAAGTTCAACTAACCGCAAAACATTTTCTTGAGAATTGCCACTTTTTTTAGTCAAAAAGCCAAGTTTTCAGCATCAAAAATAGATATCCCCCCCCTCCATATGTTGTGGTTGAGGCTCGAGCTTAGATGCGCTAAATATTGCGCAACAATTAGGTAAGGTTAAATCCCCAACCAACAGCGGTGACTGTTTACTGGGAAGCGACTTCCTCTTGTAGCTCCGCACAAAATTGTTCTACGGAGGTGAAAGTTTGAACAGTGCAACTAGGGATAGAGGTGAGGACACACTCCAAATTTCATAAAATCGACTGACTGGTTAAAAATCAGATTATTTGAGGTGGTGCGTCCTCTTAGAAAAGAAATTTCCAAGTTACTGTCACTGTCACCGCAACGAAAGAGTAACCCGTTGCAGTTACAGCTACTTTAAAAAAGTGACGGCATTACTTTCTAGTTGCTGTATTTACTCGAATGTAACGCGACCACGATTGTAACGCAAGAAATAACTTTTCACAGCGCGAAAAAAAAAAAAAAAAAGAGCACGAATGTAACGCGAGTTAAGTGAGGGGAAAAGTACCTTAAAAAGTACTACAACGTGGTCCGCGGAAGCCTTTTCGGCCGGGTTCACGCTGGAGCCTCCACCCACGGATAGTCGATTCCGTCACATCTACCCGTCGAGCCGCGGCAGAGTTTCCGATTTCCCCAGCCATCATAATTGCACTTCTTTTAAAGCGGGCGTCGTACTGAGCTTGTCGCGTCGCCATTCGCTCGACTCCAGTCGCAGAAGCACGTAGCAGCAGCTCTCAAAACACGGACAACACGGGCACATGGGTACGGTAACCCTAACAGAAAGAGAAAGCGTTGTGAAGGTAACCCGTAACCCTAACATGGGTGCAACGAGTCGCAAACAAAAATAGGATCGTATTGGCTGTTTCCAGCGTGTATATGTTGCCAGCACAAGATTGAAAGATCGCGAGATTTGTCGTAGCCATTTTAAAGGGCAACTCCGCTCAATTTTGAAAAATTTAGGCTTCCATGTGATTCACATTCACAAAGCATTACTAAACAACTCTACGTCTTCGGATTCGCGAAATGTGGAATATTATTTGTGTAATCCTAATTTAAACATCAGATACCGAAACCGAAACTTTGGTTGCGTCAGGAAACAGTGGTCTCGGGTCATCAGAGTCATGGCCACGTCACGTCGAACCACGTGGTCTTGTGACGTTCGGGAGGGAGCGAGAAACAGGACACGCGACACGGGCAGGTCCTTTTTTTTTTTTTTTTTATTGGACGCAGGCAGGTTGCTTCACATGGCGTGGACGGTGATGGCCCGGGGGAGAGGGGAGAAGAAGAAAGAGGAGAAGGGGAGCGGAGAAACGCAGGGCAGCGCAAACTAGCACATCCGTGTTACAGTGATCACGTGAACGCCCGGTCAGCCAACACCGGGAGAAGAAACTCATGACGTCATCATTCAATTTCGCTCTGAGAAGTAAAATCAAGCAAAACGTGAGAATGACGTAGTCATGCCTCTGATGTAGTGGTTCAACGTTGGCCGCTCCAACTCCGTGGCATTGACTGCGCTGATGATTGCGCCTCGCGCCGCACGCTAGAGTTGGCAGAGTTCAGCGACTTGGCTCGCTTGAAGGTTTCCTGGCCAGTTTATTAAATATATAAACGGAATTAGATCGTAATATTTGACATGGGGTCTTCCTATATGATACTGAAGAGGGCTACATAGTTTTCTAAATATAGAAAATGAAGCGGAGTTGCCCTTTAAAGAGCCTGTGCTGCGACACCGCCAAGGCAAATTTTGAGGCGTTTCGATTATAACGCGAACCCCCAAATTAGGTAAGGGAAATTTTAAAAAAAAACTTGCGTTACATTCGAGTAAATACGGTACTTTTTTTTGTAAGACATACAAAAACAAAAAACTTCGTCCCCAGTTTATTGCACGAAGCAACATACTAGATCTCGCTTGTTTTTAAATACAGTGTAGGCCGCATATAACGTATGTCACGGGAGTCGCGAAAATCTGCACTATAAGTGGTACCGCGCTATAACCAAAACATCAATTTTCAGGCCAAAATACATGCCATGAGACAACTTATCTTTGTAAAACAATTTATTTTATGTTAGATGAAAAATAAAGCTTAGTCTGAGGAAAGTCCTTATTTCACCAGACTACTACACTTCTCTCTCAAGTGTGTCACACATTTTGAAAGAAATGAGTGACTTTTGCCTGGCGCAGCCTTTTAACGGCGTTGCGGACGGACGTTGCGAGCGTTCAGGGTTGCTAACCCTAATCACTTTTCTCCGGTGATGAAAACGCTTGAAAATTCGCATCCTTTATACGGTACGCACCAGTAATACTTTGAACTTGAGCACACGCATGAAATGCTCCAAATGAGAAATCCAGGCGATGTTCGAAAACAGAAATGCTTAGAAAGCACCACTGTAGTCGAAGTAAACAAACACGATGACACAAGCGTTTCTGCTGTTCTGAGAGTACCGCCATGACATCGCCGCACGAGTAAGTGGACCTTCCCTTCTAGTACATGCTGGGTTACTATAGCAACACACGACGAACATTCACAGTCAAGGATAGCGCTTTTACGCGGAACAATGAGCGGAACGACCGCGCCACCCACGTCGACGATCACCACCAACGCCATGTTGCAGATAGAAGAAGCCGGCCCGTGACCGGCATGCAACGCGCGCGACCAGTTCTCCTCGACTTGTGATTGGTCTGTCGTTGCGGTTGTTTCCAGCGCAGCAGGGGAAAGTTGAGCTCGCTCCAACTTCTTGCGTCGTGAACGACACGTGCATGCGTCCCTCCGTCGCTATGGGAACTGAAGCGTCTCTCTTTGCTTCTCCTCGCTTCTTCGAGCAACCTCCTTGCCATCCTTGCGCCCGCGAGTGCCGCTTGCAGCTAGCGCCGTTGTCTAGTGTCGTACAGGGAAGCGTGCTCGCTGCGCCGGTCGGTCGGCGGGCTGTTCCAGAAACCGCACTATAACCGGTATTTCCCTTTGCGCGCCTGCATTTTAAGCGGTTGTAATTACATGATTTGTAAGGGAGGCGACGCGGTGGTTGAAAAAAGACACGTTATACCCGGTCCTGCACTATACAAGCGGTTACGTTGTAAGTGGTCTATATACTGTACAAAGGCTCTTTTGTTTTTGCACACTGTTGGAACGCATTCAAATGCGACGCTTTCTCGTTCGAATCTCAATGTGCCCTCATCCTGTCCTTTTCCCTCAGTTTCGCTTCGTATCATCAACAAACAAAGGTCCCGAGCTTTTAATTTTCACTCTCAATTTTATTAGTGAGAAGGGCACTGAAGGACCACACTTGCGCTTCAAGGTGTCAACAAGTGTTCAGTCGCAAAGAGCAAACACATGCATAGGGATCGCTAGGTTGTTCGCGTTTCACGCGCACGTGCCTATAGCCGGGTCGTGACCTGCGAGAAACTAGAGTTGCTCTGGGCCGATTTGTGGCACTCGAAATGTCAGACTGCATAGTTTCTTAAGTGCAAGGACGGCTAGATCGTACTTGTTTGACAATATCTGAAGGTCGTGAAACTGGGAAAAATAAGGGCAAAAGTAACGTCGTTACTCAAGAAAAGATTGTAGAAATACAGATGCGAGGTGTCGTGAGCGACGATGCACGACGCTGTTTAGCTCGCGTTATCGGTGGGAGGCTGCTAGAACTGTGCATAAAGCTTTTTCGCTCGGGTGCAGAGACGAGTGAGGAAAGGAGAACCAATGGGTGTGCCCCGGGGAAGCCAGTCTGAGAACCCGGGGCCCGTCGTTGCAGGTGAGCGTTGTGAAGCCCCTCAACGTACCCAAGTTGAGGGCCGACCTGGAGCGAGTTCTGGCCAAAGGAATTGGGAGCCTGGCTGTGGCACTGCTGCACTCTTACACGTGAGTGGGCGGGCCGACAACCGGCTCGGTTACGCTGCCTGGATTGCATCCAAACGTTGCGCGTCTTATACCACCCGCATGTCGAAAGTGGTTCCCAAGCGGCGGCAAATGACGTCGCGTAAACTAGCTTGTCGGTCGTTGGGCTTTGCGATGCCGGAGGTCAGCTATAGGAATCCTGACAAAAAATTACCGAAGGACGCTTAAGCTTTGCCTTTAAAAGTGGAATGCGATAGCTATACATATAAACGTTCCCAAGCTGTGCAAGCTTGTCTGCGTGGTCTAGTCGGTAGTGCGTGTGGCTCACAACCAAAGGGTTGTGGGTTCGAATCCTGCCTAAAATTCTTCAAATTTTTTCTGTAAGGCATATGAATCGCTTTGTGAAGTGAAATCATTTGAGGCATGCGGCGATCTTTAATTCTCATTACACGTCACGTTTTATTCACTTTCATTCCACGCGCAACATATTTTTTCACGCATACGTTGTGGGTTGTTTGAAATTCTCGCACGTTTTCGCATTGCTTCACAAACGGCTTTTTTGCGACAAAAGCTCCTTAAAGCTACTGCTTTAAAAGGACGAGTGAACGCGAGGGTCGCCGTCAACTCGCGTCTGCTTTGCTTTTTGTCGACCGCCTGGGAGCGGTGCAACCTAGGGCGGAACAAGTGCCCACCACCGTGCCGCTGCCAGCATGACGCACCTCCGACCTCTTCGGACGCGAGTTGAAGGGCACCTTTTGTGGATGTGGCAGGCACGCTGGTCGGAGGGTACCTTAGCTCCTTTCCACCCTGTGCAGGTTCCAAGAGCACGAGCGGCTGGTGGGGGAGGTGGCCCTGGAGCTGGGCTTCCGGCACGTCTCTCTCTCGTCCCAGGTGATGCCCATGGTCCGCGTCGTGCCCAGGGGCTTCACAGGTGAGTGTGCTGCTGGGGGAGATGCCCGCCTTGTCTGCCCTTTCCATTTCTTTCCTCGAAAGCCCTCACACGGGGCAGTACACAAGGAATGGCCTGCTGGAAATTGCGATAGTAAATATATGGGGAGATACAGCTTAAAATTACCGATTTTTCGCTAAACAATTGATTATTAAAATTGCACAATTTTGGCATGTACGACTAGTAATGAACACCCTCACAAAGCTATATCAATGTGCATTGAAAAACAGCGGCAGAAATAATCATTATTGACTTGTTGGTAATGCACACGAGGAGTGCCGTGCTTGGCTGAGAACCATGATAAGCATCATTTTCGAAACACGATCGCTCCGCGGCTGCTTGGCCTAGCGTGGTGTGGGTAGTCTCGTGTGAAGCGTCATTTTGTGGACTTTCGATTTTACTTTTACAGCGATGCTGTTAAGGTCTAGGTTCTCCAGGATCATGTCGGTACCAAACAAATATTGACGCAAAACTCTGGACAGCTACTGCCATCTATGAGCGACGGCGGCAACCAGACAACCAGCTTGCCGGCCTCGCTCATAGATGGCGGCAACCTTTCCAGCCTTTCCACTGTGATTTTCACTAGAATCGAAATGCTGAATTTCTCTCTCTAGGCGTCGTCCTCGAGGTCGTCCCAGTAGTCGTCCTTGAGGTTGTCCTTGAGGTCGTCTTAGACGTTGTCAGACTGTTTGTCCTCGAGGTCGTCCTAGAGGTCGTCCTTGAGGTTGTCCTAAACGTTGTCCTCTAGGTCGTCCTTGAAGTCGTTTTTGAGGTTGTTTTAAACGTTGTCCCTGAGGTTGTCCTAGGCGTCGTCCTTGAGGTTGTCCTCGAGGTCGTCCTAGAAGTCGTGGTTGAGGTTGTCCTCGAGGTCATCCTAGAAGTCGTCCTCGAGGTCTTCCTAGACGTCGTCCTCTAGGCGTCGTCCTTGAGGTCGTCTAAGAAGTCGTCCTTGAGGTCGTTCCATCATTGTACAGCTTGGCTGGTCTTCCTTCTTCACCAGAGTGGAAAGGCTGAAAGTATTTTTATTTATTTATTTATTTACCCTTCGTGCACGGGGGAGAGCCCCATAGAAAGCTCTCGTTCTGGGCAAGAATGGTGGTAAAAAAGTGAAAGCCATTTACAACTCTCTGTAACGCCGAATTGGAGCACAGCTCTTGAGGAGGAGGAGGGAAGGGTACTGAGGGGTGGGTAGACCCCTCCTCCTCCTCCTCCTTCTCCTCCTCCCCTCATTCTTTAATATGCTCTGGGGGGGTTACCTGACCTCGGGGGGAGGGGTTCACGTGACCTCGGGAGGGGCGGTCACGAGACCTGGGGGGTCACGTGACCTTGGAAGGGATCACGTGACCTTGGTGTTGTCACGTGACCTTGGGGTGACCTTGAGAGGGGTCACGTAACCGTGGGGTGACCTTGGTTACGCCGACGCCGCTCAAGCTGGAAACGGGCGCCTAAGAGCTGCGCTCTAAAAACCAACGGGCGCAGCTTTTGGCTGATGTAATGGAACCCGAATGGCGAGTGGCTGTTCTGGGTCACGTGATTCTCAGCACATGGGGCGCATTCACTGCGGTAAATGCGCCAACGACCTTTTATTTTCACCTTCCCTCATTCTCAGAAAGGTGGTAATTTATTTCTTTTTGGGGGCCGCAACCTCGAAGAAAATTGTCAAGTGTTGTCAAATCTGACATTTCTGCATATATCAGCACATGCAGCTTTCGGTACCTGCAGCTTTCAGCACCTGCAACACCGCCACCTTCGTCCGAAATGTCATGGGATTGGATCGTTTTCTTTTTGACAACTTTGTTGAGCGACTCTGCGTCGTGGACTGCGACGCTGTCGTCGACGTTCGACGTGCTCCAGAAGTCGCAAGCTGTAAATACTGCCGGCACTGTGCCAATTATGATTTCACCTCGTCTTTCTGTACATTAATGGTGTTCATTTGCGGCAGGGCACATCATTATTCAAGAGCATGTAAACTGCAAAGCATATGAAAATCATAAGCAAAGAACACAATGAGATGCGCCTCCTTTTCGGATTTCGAAAACACATTGCGATCACTGCCAACATTTAAGCCTCGCAGCACGGCAGCGGCAGTACATTGTCCAAGAAAGAAGAAAAAAAGTAAAAGGGAGCAGAGCACGAGATTCAAGGGTAGTCTGATTGAAAGGAGGTGAAGGGTCAAAGACAGCCAAATGCAACGGCATTGGTAAAGGAATGAAGAGACGCCAAAGAATGGCTTGCTGGGGAAGGAGGAAACAGGCAGAATACGACCGCCAGCACAGTGCACAGTTCTACAGCGAAGCTGTTAAGGGAAAGGTTTCCCAGGATCGTGTCCGGTACGTCGACACAAACCTACCTGGACAGCTACTGCCATCTATCTATAAGCGACGGCGGCAAGCACGCAACCAGTCTGGTTTTCGCCGTCGCTCGTAGATGGCAACAACCTTTCTAGCTATCATAGAAGAATTGATAGTTGGGCACGTTAGTGGGAATTCATCGTAGGAAACTGCGAAAGACAGACGACGACGAAGAAGAAGCACAAATAGCGAGCGCAGCGCTCGTCACGTTTGTTTCTTCGTCCTCGTCTGTTTTGGGTGCTGTTTCCTACACTCCTACGCTCTTTTCAGTTTCGGTTTGGACTCGCGATAAGTCAGCCGCGCGCCCTTTCGGGGAAAGAAGACTGGCTGTGGAAGGAGCAGCGACATACGCAGCAGCGCGAATGGGTGTGCAACCGCCACAAAGCCGCTGTCGCCTCGACTTCCACTGCGTCGTGCAGTTCAGATTCCCTCGCCAAGGAGCACATTGCTTGCCTGGAAAGCCGCCGCTGAGAACAGAACCAGCAATGTAAAGGGCACCGGCGAGCCAACGTCACGGACGACGATCGTGCCACCGAGGCTAAGTGTAAGCGCGAGGCCCGGCGACGACTGCACTCCACGCCGTCTGAACAGTTCCCGGGTGCAACGGCGAGGTTCCGGAGGGAGTTCGTGGAGAACCCGTTTGGTGTCTTGTGCGCCGTGTGCGACTGACTCTGGTTTGCCGGAGACGTATCCACGATCAGCGGCGTGTCGGACAAGAAGAAACGGGAATCGGGCGCGTGTGCGTTGCGGCAGTGTATCGAGTACAGCTCCGCTGGTCTTCCTTCTTCACGAGAGTGGAGAGGCTGAATGTCTTTGTTTTTGTGTTACGTCTGTTTCTACCGGCGATGTGACATGCCAGGTTCATCGTGTGATGCGGGATGAGTATAATCGCACTTCACGAAGTCTGAACTTCTATTACATTGTTTTTATCGAGAGTTCATTGGGCCCTCACCAAATTATCGTAAGGTGTAAGGCGTCGCATAATGGGGGTTCCACTGTACACAATGGTGTAGGCAAACTTGTAGACAAAAACAGTTCTACCGAGAGCTTTGTGGAGCTTGCAAGTGTGTCTGAGAATTGCTGACTCAAGCTGAAGGTTCTGTCCTGGGCTCTTGCAGCTTGTGTGGACGCCTACCTGACCCCGTGCATCAAGAAGTATGTGGAGGGATTCACGCGTGGATTCCAGGAAAACCTGAAGGCACGTTTTCCCCACTGTATTTTGGGGTTTTCTTTGGCATGGATTACAATCTTGCTTCTTTTTTCTTGCAGGATGTGGCGGTGCTCTTCATGCAGTCGGACGGAGGTCTCACCCCCATGCACATGTGAGTGCTGGACGCACTGGCCTCCCTGCCATTCCTAGCCTTCGCTTAGGGAATGTGCCATACTCTTTGGATGTGAGGCCTTGACAGGCTATTTACCTGCGTTGCACTGAATCCGAGATTTGGTATTGCAAAAGAGCTACCACTCAAGACCCTGCTACTCAGGTTCCCCCCCCCACCGCTTTCTGTAGTCACGTGTGGTGGCAGCGCAGAATTCAGAATAATTCTGAGTTTCGACCCTTTTGAGGTGCATTGGTATCAGTAAAATTATAAACCCACGAAATAAAATGTGTGTCAGCTCCGAAGGGAGAAATATGTTTACAGTGTAGACCGCACATAACGTATGTTGTGGGAGTTGCGAAAATCCGTACTCTAAGCGGTACCGCGCTATAACCAAAACATCAATTTTTCAGGCCAAATTACATGCCATGAGACAACTTACCTTTGTAAAACAATTTATTTTATGTTAGATGAAAAATAAAGCTTAGTTTGCAGGAAGTCTTCATTTCACCAGACTAGTATAGTGTAGACTGCATATAACATATGTCGTGGGAGTCGCGAAAATCCGCACTATAAGCGGTACCGCGCTATAACCAAAACATCAATTTTTCAGGCCAAAATGCATGCCATCAGACAACTTACCTTCGTAAAAGAATTTATTTTATGTTAGATGAAAAATAAAGCTTTAGTTTGAGGAAAGTCTTTATTTCACCAGACTAGTACACTTCTCTCTCAAGTGTGTCACACATTTTGAAAGAAATAAGCGGCTTTTGCCTGGCGCAGCCTTTTAACGGCGTCGCGGGTTGCGGACGGACATTCCGAGCGTTCAGGATTGCTAACCCTAATCACTTTTCTCCGGAGATGAAAACGCGTGAAAATTTGCATCCTTTATACGGTACGCGCCAGTAATACCTTGAACTTGAGCACACGCATGAAATGCGGCAAATAAGAAATCCGGGCGATGTTCGAGGACACAAATGCTTAGAAAGCACCACTGTAGTCGAAGTAAACAAACACGACGACACGGGTGTTTCTGCCGTCTTGAGAGCGCCGCCACGGCATCGCCGCACGAGTAGGTGGACCTTCCCTTCTAGTACGTGCTGGGTTATCATAGCGACACACAACGAAAATTCACAGTCAAGGATAGTACTTTTACGTGGAACGATGAGCTTCTACGCTGTCTACGTCGACGATCAAAACCGACGCCATGTTTGCGGATAGAAGCAGCCGGCCGGCCGGCCTGCGATTGGCATGCAACGTGCGCGAACACTTCTTCTCGACCTGCGATTTGTCTGTCGTTGCGGTTGTTTTCCAATGTAGCGGAGGGACGCACGCACGTGAATGACACGTGCGTGCATCCCTCCGTCGCTATGGCAACTGAAGCCTCTCTCTTCACTTCTCCCCGCTTCTTCGAGCAACCTCCTTGCCCCGCGAGTGCCGCTTGCGGCTCACGCCGTTATCTAGTGTCGCACAGGGAAGCGTGCTCTCTGCGTCGGTCAGTCGGCGCGGTCGCCGGGCTGTTTCGAAAACCGCACTATAACCGGTATTTCCCTTCGCGTGCCTGCATTTGAAGCGGTATGTAATTACATGAAGTTCTATGGGAGGCGAACCGGTGGTTTAAAAAAGCCGCGTTATACCCGGTCCTGCACTATAAGCGGTTACATTGTAAGTGGTCTATACTGTACACTTCTCTCAAGTGTGTCACACATTTTGAAAGAAATGAGCGACTCTTGCCTGGCGCAGCCTTTTAACGGCGTCGCGGGTTCCGGACGGACGTTGCGAGCATTCAGGATTGCTAACCCTAATCACTTTTCTCCTGTGATGAAAACGCGTGAAAACTCGCATCCTTTATACGGTATGCACCAGTAATACCTTCAACTTTAGCACAGGCATGAAATGCTCCAAATAAGAAATCCGGGCGATGTTCGAAAACACAAATGCTTAGAAAGCACCACTGCAGTCGAAGTAAACAAACACGACGACACGGGCGTTTCTGCCGTCTTGAGAGTGCCGCCACAACATCGCCGCACGAGTAGGTGGATCTTCCCTTCTAGTACGTGCTGGGTTATGATAGCGACACACAAAGAAAATTCACAGTCAAGGATAGCGCTTTTACGCGGAACGATGAGCTTCCACCACGCCGTCTACGTCGACGATCACAACTGACGCCATGTTTGCAAATAGAAGAAGCTGGCCTGCGACCGGCATGCAATGCGCGCGAACACTTCTCCTCGACCTACGATTGGTCTGTCGTTGCGGTTGTTTCCAACGCAGAGGAGGGACGCACGCATGTGAACGACACGTGCATGCGTCCCTCTGTCGCTATGGCAACTGAAGCCTCTCTCTTCGCTTCTCCCCACTTCTTCGAGCAACCTCCTTGCCCCGCGAGTGCCGCTTGCGGCTAGCGCCGTTATCTAGTGTCGCACAGGGAAGCGTGCTCGCTGCACTGGTCGGTCGGCGCGGTCGGCGGGCTGTTCCAGAAACCGCACTATAACCGGTATTTCCCTTCGCGCACCTGCATTTTAAGTACTATGTAATTACATGGAGTTCTATGGGAGGCGAACCGGTGGTTTAAAAAAGCCACGTTATACCCGGTCCTGCACTATAAGCGGTTACGTTGTAAGTAGTCTATACTGTACTGGAAAAGATTTACATTTTATTACATTTTTGAACAGCGATTACTGCATATTAACATAATTAGTTCATCAACTGGCTTCGCTCATGGCCTCTGTTGTCTCTTGCACCGTTTCGCATCAAAAAGAAATGTGACGGAGAAATTTCAAAGTTTCAGAAATTGCGCATTCTTATTCATTCAAATTGTACTTAAGGTAATACAATGTTAAAAATGTATCCATAATTGTTGCTGATTACTGTGACAAGATTAAAACAAACTATATAGATATGCACAAATGCTTAACATCACCAGATGAAATGAATGAAGTAAAATAATAAAACTACAAACATGTTGTGAGTATGTATGGAGGCTTAACTGCTAGCTTTATCTAACATAAAATTAACAAATATTTAGGTAAAATAAAATGGTACAATAAAGTAAGAGACACTTGTTTGCTAGTTTTGACTGAATAAATACAGCCAATAATCTGTGCAGGAAAATGAGTTACTTGAAACAGAGGAATGCTCCATGGAGCTCGAGCGAAAACCGTTAAGTAGCGTATTTTGTTTAGTAGCCGTAGCCCAAACAAAACTTTTATTAATGAGAAAACTTCTTTGGCTAGTTGCTCCAGATTTCGTGAAGCCGTGGCCTGTGACGTCGCATGTCTTTAAGTTTCCCCGCTAGATTTAGCGGGAAAATTGATGTCACATAACATCAATGCCAATTCAGTTTCCCTACCTTGCGGGCAAGCTGGTTACCGTCAAAATGACTAAGCCCGAGACACTTGAGACTTGCGCTGTCTCCGATGGAACGATGTTGGAGGCGTTGCGTGTGTCTGCGTGTGCTTCGTTTTGTGCATCTTCTTCCGCCTTATCTCGACTTCAGTTATGGGCTACCGTAATCTTTTCTGTCTGCACCGGACGAAGCTCTCGAGCATCTCGCCGAATGGGGGCAGGTTTTCCGGCTCCCGGTCCATCCTGTCTGGTCCCGCTGGCGGAGTGGTCGGGTATGCCAAGACCTCGTACAGCCCCCTGGACCGTGTGCCCGTCATCGGCTTCGACATGGGAGGTGAGCCTGGTGTGCAAGAGGAAAAAAAATCTTGAATTGTGAGAGAATGTTTTAATAAATTGGATTTATTTTATATAAAATAGATTTATTCGATTTAATCTTTATTTATTTTATTTAAATAACTTCAGCTAGAAAAGAATGAGTTTTTTCTACTAGATGGGTTTTTAAAAATGGGTGCCTAATATAAATCTTCCTTGCTCGATCATTCTTTGCATTAAATATGATATAAATGCGCCTTGAAAGCATAAAATGTTAGACAAGGGGTAAATAGATAATATTTCCCCGATTATTTTACTTGGAAAGAGGTCGATTTAAGTTATCGTAGTCAATCTGGTGCTACTTAAAATATGGTTTGAATTGTGTTTCGAATCATCTTGATTTTTATTCTCCACTCCAGTGGCATGCGTGCCGCTATGCGTGGCGAGGTGTCTTCACTCACAGCCCTCCAGTCAACTTGCTCTATGCGAAGGCTTAGCCATTAGACGGATGTTGTATTTTGTATTTTAGAACGTGGCTCCTGCGTGCTCGGGGCCTAGTCCAAAACACCCCGATAGTCGAGCGGGGAAAAAGTGTGCCGAGTGGTAATTACCCTCTAATACGAGCGAATGAGCCCCAAAACCAAATAGATGATGACCAGCGTGCCCAGAGACGGGCTCGCGATTGGAAGACTCTGGCTGTAGACTTCATCGCTGGATGCCAGTGGTCAGGTCACCGCTGAACTGACGGACCGTCGTGGAACGGTCGGCTCAGAGAGACAAAGGAAGAGACAACCTACTGGGGTGTGGACGATGACGCAACTGACTTTATGGGTCACAACACAAAACAAGGAAAACACAAAGCGGAAATCGCATGACGAAAATATGAAATGACGGGAACATGGCGCCATCTGTCAATAAGCACACGCTAATACTGAACAGGATAGATGGTGGCAAGTGCTGCCGTCTATCGTCATACGAGAATACTATTTTGCTTTTCTTTTTGTTTCTGGAAGTCCAACAGGGTATGCTAGTCACCGTGCTTCTTGAAGCTCTGGTCCGGTATTTTGTTGTGCAGTGCAAATACTGGGGGGACCATGCAGCTAAGAAGGAAAGGTTCTGGCAGAAGTGCATTGATGTGGTTGCTGCGCCATTTGCGCAAAACTGCGCTAGGGTGCTTAACTTGCGATGTCCTGCCCTATGTCCTGCCACGTTGCACAATTCGCAATGGAGAATTGTGCAAACCAAACAGCGTCTACATCTGCGCTTTTGGTGGTTCACGATCAACATTGAAGTAGAAACTTGCATCAAAGACTGTCACACGTGTCAGACGACCGACAAGACAGCAGTGACAGCAGTGCCACCTCTCCAACCAGTACCGTTTCCATCAGGTGCGTCGAAACGGCTAGGAATTGATTTTGTTGCACCATTCTACGGACTTCCTTCAGAATTGAGATTTGCAATTACTTTGGCGAACTACTACAGTAAGTGGCCGCAGGTTGCTTTCTGTACTTGACCAATGGCTGGAGTTTGTTGCGATTTCTAACAACGATTTTCGGCAGAGAAGGTTACCTCGACGTAATACGCCTCGCAAGTGGGCTCATTTTCGTCTTCTGCGCATGAGGAAGGAAGTAGCGGTGACGTCAGAACGCCGAGCCCTGATTGGCTGATCGCGACCCCCTATCTCAGCGTCGTCTGCCCCTTTGCAACGTCGTCTGCTCGCAACATCGTCTGCGTCTGTCTTACCTTTCCTGCAACCTTCAGAAGTGCAGGTCTTTACGAGCGAGCTTGACTTCGCCTTTCAGAGAGGGCAGACGAAATAACTCGAGCTGTACGTTTTGTTTGTCTAGTACACTGTAGTTTGTCTAACAACTAGCAAACGCGCATCAAGGAGGGAAGTCAAAGGACTCACTGGCGAGGTGTCCCGAGGCGCCGAGGTTTGTTTGCTAAGAACCGAGCGTGAGCGTGTTGGTGTCCGCAAGTTCCCTTCCCAAATACTTTTTCCCTCCTTTCGTATGCGGCGAGACTCCTCATTCTTTAATGGCGTCGGCGGGTTGGCGCAGTTAACGTCGTCTGCTTTACGTCTGCTAGTCAAAGCGATGGCTGCTTTACCTTTCCTGCGTCTGTCGGAGATTCACCACTTTTTCACCGGCGAGAGTCACCGTTGCCTCGGGAAACAAGGAGATAACAAGAGGAAGAAATTGACCTCTTAATCTAAAACTGAGGTCAGCGATCAAAGTATAATACGGGAAGGGTTCCCAAGGGTCGCGCGGACATATTCCATTCAGCACACTAGCCGGTCGTAGGCAGACGGTCGCCGAGTCGCGGAGTGCCTGCTAGGCCTAACTGCCGTTCTCGCTTGATCACGTTCGGCGGAATCGTGGCCGTTGGACCTTTTCCCGGGTGTTTGTGGATCCAGCGTTCTTGTTCGTCGTGGTCTGTTTCAAGTGCTTTTTACTTTTTTCTTGCTGCTTGAAGTCGGGACGCGTGAGAAGCGCACGTAGAAAAATAAACGTCCGTGGGTCGTCGCGACCGCGACGCTGTCGGCCATGTTGATTTGATCGTAAGAAGTGCGTAAGACAGCTTCGGAGCTGTCGAAGGATTTTGTCGTAACCTGCGCAAAACTTACGAATTCGTGAATATGAATTTGTTTTTAAGTTATGTCTTACGCACATTTTTTGGCGTAAGATCGTTTCGTGAATCTGCCCTCTGCACTTCCGAAAGTCGCAGGAAAGGTAAGACAGACGCAGACGACGTTGCAAAGGAGCAGACGACGCTCAGATAGGGGGGTCGCGATCAGCCAATCAGGGCTCGGCATTTTGACGTCACCTCTACCCCCTGCGCAAGAAGCAGACGAACTTGCCCTCCGCATTGTTTCGGATCCTGGTCTGCAGTTTCTATCCCGTACGTTCCGGGAGTTTTCGAGAGGAATCTCTCGCCGTCGGTCTGCTATCTGCCATCCGCGGGCAAACAGACGGGCCAAGAGGTTCAGTCGAGTTCTAAAAGGACACGTCCAGACTATCGCGCAAGAACAAAGCAACATTTGTGCGAGCCTAAAGGAGTTTTTGGGTGTCTACCGAAGCAAACTCTCCGGCTGAACTGCTCCATGGACTTAGACTGTGGAAGGAATAGACATCGTCTGTTTGCCAAGTTTTGAGAGACCATTTCATATCGAGACTGCCAATTAACCGGTTTGTAGGGTGTGTGGGAGATAATGTACAAGTGATGCTTATTACCACTCACCAAGTCAAGGGAACACCATTGCTTGGTCAACCTGAACAAGTTCAGAAGGGCTACCTTTGGGAGTTAATTAATTTTAAGCTATTGATGTTTATCCGAGCAACACTTGTCCCCAACTTTTATCGTGGGACCAAGTCATGTTGCCCAAGGCAATGGCGCCAACGTCAAATCTAGTTGAAAAAATATTATTTGGTACGAGCGCATTCTTTTGAATCGACCACAGCGGAATATTATTTATTTTTATTTTTGAAAAATGGGAAACAAGCTTTGAATTTCGGAGAATTGGGAATCAAACAAAATAAACTCCGACGTTTCGGCAAAAGGTAAACTTAAAAAAATACCCTCTGAACTTGACGAAAAATTAGTCGACCGGTATATGAATAGTAAGTTCTAGTTCTCTACAGCCGTGGAAGTCCACTTAAAATTATAGGCCCCGAAAATGTTATTGGTGGTCATACTTTCTAGGTAATTTTTTTGTTGTTACCGTGATCTCAAAAATGTGTCAGTTGTAAAACATGAATGAGAACCCAACTTTCGAATTGTGCGGCCCGTTTTGATTAACGCAATATTGACTCGGACCACGGAAACCATGCACATTCTAAAATGTCACATTTCATTTAATTAAAATTGTAATATGACGCTCATTTCTTGATGTGGCTTTTTTGGCCGTCTTCCCAGGCACTTCAACGGATGTGAGCAGGTTTGATGGTCACTTTGACCACACCTTCGAGACCACAACTGCGGGAGTGACCATCCAGGCACCCCAGGTGGGTACCCACCGTTGCTTTATCCAGTCTTGGGCTCGCTTCCCCTCATTCATTGACCTGCCCTCGGAATTGGAACTTAAATGGACCGTCAAACTGGTCATTATTCGGACTTGGGTGGCCGAATAGGGACTGCTAGCTTTGCATTTGGTTGTGGTTTTGCTCCAGTTCAGTCATGCATGGAAATATCGGACTGATTACCAGTTCCACCAGGCATGATCCACTTCAAATAATTTCATACCTGTACCTTAGACCCGGCCACCCGTGCATTTCCTGCACCAAACAAAAAAGTTCACAGCTCCCAGTTGTTAAAAAAAGTGTTGAACTTTGCTTCATTTGCATTAAAACTTAAGAAACAAAAAAAACATCTGGGCATCGGTATTTTGCTGCAGAAATGGGGGACAGCAAAACAAATATAGGCTTAATTTAATATTGTGATCTTTACTTTTTATCACTGTTGTATCCGGAGATGCCAGGGTTGGGTTAAAGCTTCATTCCAGCAGAAACACGAAGACAACCGACGGCGAATTCTAGGACACATGCCTTTTGCACATTTTGTGCAAAATATGTGCTCATACAGGTGCTTAGAAACAGTAACAAAGTAGTACTCGCATGCAAAGCTAGTCAGCACGCACGGTGACATTAGCATGCACCATACTTGCAAACTACTCATGTCATACCGCTGCTTCAACGACAGCAAACGGCAGTTAAAAGATGATTCAAATACAGCCAGGAAAAAGGGATGAACAGCACGGGGCCCTTGAAAAACAGAAAGGCTCTTCTGCAGCAGCATTTGGAGCTCCGGGCTTCCCTCTGATGCACTCCTCATCAGTTCGCTTCTCCAGCGGCGTATCCAGTTTTTGCCACCGTAAAACTCGCGCAAAAAGCTGTCTTCTTTTCTTTTGATTTTGATGTTTTATTTTTTGTTCCTCGTTTGTTTGTTTAACTTTAGCTTGTTTAGCAGATTGTTTAGAGTAACGAAAGATAATTTAGCAGCACCAGAAACAAACAAACCAGAAATAGCTCTTTAGCCTCTTGGCTTAGTGAAGTGCACTTAGCTTACGATTAGGGTTCCTTACATAGGGTGTTGTCAAACCGTTTTAAAGGATTCTAGTCCAGGGACAGCTTTTGCAATTTAAGTATGGTGTTGGCAATTCATGTTGGAGAGTTTTAGGGAGCCGTTTTTGCACATCTGATGCGGTACCAACTGCGCATATGCAGGTCTTCTGTGGTTGCGCATGCGCACTGCGTACCGGAGGGCTCATCGTACCGTATGGATGTGCAAAAAGTAGGGGGTGTGCGAATACCAAATAGTAGTTATCGAATCGAATACCGAATTGAATTAAGAAAAAAAGATGAATATCAAATAGAATATTGAATATTGATTTTATTTGTAGGAATTTTTCAAAGTGTGCTGTGAATGAGATTATTATATGTGCAGGGTATGCGCCTGGTTCAGAATATGCATCTCGTGCAGAACAAAAGCCCAAATGTATAAAAACTCTGGTGACACAAAAAAAAAAAGCGGCTGCTGATGGATTTTGGGCATAAAGATAGAATTTTATGACGCAAATATAATCTACTTACCCTAAGCGTCACAAAAAACCCAGAGTTACAGCCATGCGTGCCTTTTTTTCTCGTTAAAAGCACGACCTAACGCCGCGACATTTCTTTTTTTTAAATATTTGTATAACTCAGAAAAGGGGCATTTTGCTATTAACCATGTTGAATTAACCTGAGACTGGGGTAGAGAAGAAACATCAAAACGTAGAAGGGACCGAAAATAGACAGGACGACGTCTGAAACTCAGCTCAGTTGAGCTGAGTTTGAGACGTCGTCCTGTCTATTTTCTCTCCCTTCTACGTTTTGATGTTTCTTCTCTACCCCAGTCTCCGGTTAATTCAACATGGTTAATATTCACCAGCTCGCCTGCACCCTCACAATTTTTTCCATTTTGCTATGCTTGGTCTCAATTTTAAGGGCGAAAAAGGACACCCAGGACTTTATATACACACACACACACACACACAAACACACACACACACACACACACACACACACACACACACACACACACACACACACACACACACACACACACACACACACACACACACACACACACACACACACACACACACACACACACACACACACACACACACACACACACACACACCCCAACTCATGTTTACAAACAAACCGAAGCGCCCCTAGCGGACGCCATCGGCGCCGCGCATGCGCAATAGGGATGTGGGCAAGAAACTCGCCGTCGCCCATAAACAAACCATTGAAATGCGATGTTGTCGGCTTCGGTGTGAGTCCCCCTGCCCTTTTTCGCGTTCAAATTGTTGATTCTACGTCTTTCTGGCGATATCTGACTATCTTGAGCGGCGTCAGCGAAATTACCGAGGTTCGTTACACCGCAAAACTTCGCGTGAATAATGTTACATGTGGCGCTTCATTTTGCGTGGACGCCTCAGTATGTACGCTAAAGCCTGATTCGCATGATGCGATTTCGCTCGCAATTTTCAGTCGCGACGCCGCTCGGGCTGCAAAAGCGTCAACCGTAGCTGAGATAGTCGACGTCGATACTGAAAATCGCAAGCAGAATAGGACCAAGTGAATTAGGGATAACAAGTCGGTGATGGTCACTGGTAACAATGATCAACATCTTTTTGTATCTATCTTTTACATCGAGCCTGCTTACCAACCTTCAAATTCAAGTCTTTTGAGGCCTGCACTTACTTCTTATCGCAAGCACCGGGCCAGCAATTGACCTTTTCCACATGCCGACGGCACCAGGCGGTGGCTGCACGAACTAAAAATTGAGGAAGTGACCTACTTGCGCTACCAATCGATACTGGGAGCTACGCTACCAGTTGCTTCCAGTCGCTACCTACCAGTCGCTCTCTGAGCTGCGTCGCATGCCCAACGCGACTTTAAAGAGGGTCATCCATAGCGTTCACCCAAACGTCGTGTTTTTCTTTCCGTCCACTTTCTTTTTTTGTGTAACACAATTATATATTTGCTACAATTGCGTGTTCTACTCGTCGATCTACAGCCTCATTCCGAATTTCCTTGATTTTTTGTGCCGACTTCCACCGCTTTGCATCAGGCACTCGCGCGTGCGCAGAACGCTTCTCGGAAAAGGTCCATTGGTCTACAGGCCGGCGTCATCGAAGAGAGCAGGTGACAAGCAGAAACATTTGAAAGAGCAGACGACAGTTCGAACGATCAGGCGGCCGTTTGAACTTGAAGGCGCACTGAACTTAGTCCGCAGGTGGTCCGCACAACTTGGCGGTTTTCTGGCGTTCATGTTGGAACAAAACAAATAAATCTGATGACCACAAGTATCCGTGAATTCAACTCAAAGTGCTTCCCTCCCAAGCAATCGTTGTCCGACGGCGTATGCTTTTCCCTTTTCACGGCACATATCCCGATTCTCGGACAAAGCAAGCACGTGAAAACTGACCTTCAAACCTCTCTCGACACTTTTGGTACGGCCAAAGTCACGGCGTTTTGACGAGAAGGCAGGTTTTTTTCTGTTTACTTTCAAAGCAACGCAGGAATACACATCTGGCATAGGGACTTCTGCCCACAGCCCCAGACTGGAAGTGCGACCGACGCGCCACCACCGCGCCGTGACGTAACAGAGATGAGTTTGTGTATATATACCGTATTTGCACGAATATAATGCGACCACGAATATAATGCGAGGGCACGTTTTGATGCCCCAAAAAGAAAAAAAATATTATTACTATTATAACGCGAACCCGAGGCCGCGTCAATTTCTCGCACTCGGGGGCATAGCAGAAGTGAAAAGTCAATGGAAATAGAAGAAATATCAGTTTATGTTTTGACTGCACTCATCCTCACTGCTCAGGTCCTTCCGTTTACAATCGACTTGGCAACTACGCAGATAAGGAGCAGCACCGGCACCTGCTTGTCTGGTACTTCCTTTTTCTTACGCGGGAGCTCCTCGGCAGTCCACAATCCAAACAAGGCATGAGGCAGAAGCACCAACACACAAACACCAGACCACTCTGGAGCGGAAACTAAACAATGCGCAAGCAGAGAAAAGACTGCTGAACCCGATACACGATCACACTTGTGGTTCTGGTCCCTCTGCGTAAACAAATGCCTCGTGTTGCACGATTGCGTAAACGCGGTCGGTGGTCTTTGCTTGTGTTGACTTGACTTGGCCCGGCTTGGCTTGGCTCGAATTGACCGGTGCCCGCATTTCCGCATGGCACGCGCGGTGCGCTGAGTTTCTGCAGCGTGCGCCCGTTGTAAAAACACAAAAGCGATAAAAATGTTTTTTTCATGTTTTCTGTTCACCCCTTCATGTGGCCCAATAGCTAATAAATTCCCCTCCACACCCCCACTCCTTTTCCCACCGTATATTTTGCATTGAGCCCGAAGGATGGCTTTCTCTTTTGGCTTTCTCCAGACTCGCGCGCCTCGTAGCTGAACTCGATTCCGAATATAACGCGAGGTGCGTTTTGGAGCACGTAATTTCGAAAAGAAACTCGCGTTATATTCGTGCAAATACGGTATATACAGTAAAACCTTGTTATAACAAAACGGGATATAACAAACTAATGGATATAACAAAGCAATTATAATTCCCCTTGCTTGCTAATAGTGGGAAGAAATGGACATTGGCTATAACAAACTAATGGTTATAACGAAATAATTACGACCGCTCCTTCAACTTTGTTATAACGAGGTTTTACTGTATATATATTAACAGGTAGCTGTTAAATCTGAGTAAACAAGCTTAAACAATAAAATCTGAGGTTAGACAGAACCTGTAGTTAGGTGGCGCAAGTCACTCCCCCAACTGCCGCTATGCATCTATTTTTCTGTCCATCTATCCTGTTTTAGAGAGCCTAGATTTAAAAAAAGGGATCAAGCGAAACTGAAACAACGGAGACGGCTCCTGTGCAGATTGGTCGTAGGTATGCGTGTCTTGTGTTGTCGCGTGGAAAGAAGGCAAAGCGACGACGCCTGCCCCGATCGACGCTTTCGTCTCTTTGTCACCTTCTCACAGTTCGTAATTCAAACCCGGCTATCGAACAATTGGAAACCCTCTTAAATCTAGGCACACTATTTTTCCGTTCCGTTTCGTTCCGAATCAGAATTTGCAGCTTGCGGTTCCAAAAGAATGACGACGAGAACTTGGCAGTCGTGACTGGTTTCATCGGCATGGTTAACAAGGTTTTTTTTTTGTGATGTTGCAGTCGCCGATATCTGTGAGTGTGGCAAGCATGTTCTACATCGGCGCTTCAATTTAAAACGAGGGGCTTTAAGCGTTTAAAAAATTAGGCATGGCGTGGAATTCGGGCCTCCCAACTATTTTCCTCTAAAAGCGGCGCACACAGGATGTTTCGGTTGTGATTCAAGGTTAGATTGCGTTACGATCATAAGTAAATATGCATGCGATTAAGTTTGTGGCATTCGTTACCTTTCTTTTTTCTAACCTTTGTGTTAGATTTTGTCGAAGATGTGTTTCTCGCATGATCTGTGTAACATCATGGGGCTAACAACGGGGTGAAAGAACGGCTCTTTTGTCAGCTCCGCGCCGACCGCACGTTTTTGGCCGAATATATTGAGTAATCGAGTGACCGAATACTAGGAGTTCGATTCGCAAATCGAATTATTTGGGAACTTTCTATGGCGATTTGAATTCGTATAGTCGAGTATTTGCACACCCCTAGCAAAAACGGTTCCGTCAAACTCTAATATGAAAGCTTTGTGGTTTTATATTTTTAGTGTTTATTTTTTATGTGTGTGACACTTCAGGCTATGTACTAGCACTTAAAAAGACACCAACACCCCCTTAAAAAAATTTTTTTATTTTTTGTCAGGCGATCTATTTTGCTACAGCGTAACATATTCATATCATGTGATGCGACCGGTGTGCCGCCGCACAGCCATTACCGAAGGTAGGAGCTGAGAACCCTAATGAAACGAAACCACTCCGCGTGCATTGGTATGCATTAAAGTCTAAGCGATGCAGTTGCGCTGGGTTGACAGCGTGAGCTGCTGCGTCGTTAGGTGCTCCAATACTGATGCGTCGTGTCTCCTGGGGACAAAGTTTCATACTTTTGTAGTGTAACCTCCACTGGCCGAGGTTGAGCAGTTTCGCCTTGCTCCTGGAGAGCCAGGCTGCGCATGCACGAGGAGCTGTGACGTCACACGTGTCAGTCCCCGGTGCATGCACCGCACGCATGCACCCGGTCGAGATAATGGCTGTCCGGTTGTTCTGGGCGGCAGCTTGGTTGCTTGATATATAACAAGACGGCTCACAGCTGGCCAAACCAACGACGGGCATCTGGCACGCCCCAGCGGAGGATTAATTTGGACCACCTGGGGATCTTTTGACGTGCAACCGAAAGCTCGGTTACTCCTCCGCAATAAAAAGAGCGGAGAAGCTTAACTCGTCGGATCCCGAAGTAGTCACATAATGCGTATACCGTGTGTGTGTCATTGAAGCAGCAGTAAGCATGATAATCAAGCTAATCCTAGACAACCAGGAAAGCCAAGAATAACCAGCTGAACCTGAGCTTACGCTACGTATATCCTGCCATAGCCGAGCTAAGCCACTGCAATTATTTTCAACTCGCTGTTGTTTTCGTGGGGCAGCAGCAACGGCGGATCCGTGCCATACGATGCAAGAAATTTTGTCTCCCGATCACGCCTGCCACGTGTCGGCACGGGTGACATATCCTACACTGCCACTTTGCGCACTGTGTTTGTTTTTGTGCCAGTAACACCTACGTATGTTAGCGCCGATGGGACGAATTGAAAAACCATCCCACATTTGCGGGTATGCAGTGTCCATTTTGGGTGGGGGATGCCCTCCAAAGACGTTTCGTCCCCGCAGTCAAAGTGTTGATGATCTTTCCGGACCAGTATGGCTGCATTTTATACTTTGTGAAGAAAGATTTGGACGGTACAACAAGTGACAAATGTGAATCTAAAGAAAACTACATTGATGCTTGGAATCACTGGACAATCGACGCTTGAGTATGGCAGTTTAGGTGCTGTGCTTTATTTTTTTTTATCAGCCTCCTTCCAAATGCGGAAATCGCTTTTCTTCATTAAAAAAAATAAAGAAATTATAGTTTTAAAACATCAAATAAATAAATCTTATTGTTTAGGTAAGATATAAATCAGATGTATATAATATTTAAATCACTTTACCAACAAAAGACACAAGACACGCGTGTCTTGAGCACCTAAAATGGATTCTTCAATCGACTCAATCGCTGCAAACAGCGTAAAAGAAAGATTACCTGTAAATTGAATTATATCGCGAGGCGCAGATTAATTCAAAACTGTTTTCTTTATACTAACCACGTCATACTAGAACAAAAAGAGCTTGCTTTGTTTTGTGTTTTTAGAAAGCTTTGTTTGCTGTAATACTTCAGCAAAACAAAATATGATATCCCCGAAGTATATGTGAAAATGCTGAGGAAGCATCTCATTTCCGCCAAATTGTTTTCTATTAGCTTTGTGCACACGGTGCCACTGTTGCCATTGCTTCTGAGGCCGGTGCCAAACAAAGTATTAAAGCTCTCTCAGCCGCACCAAAAGTGAAAAGCAAAAAAAAAAACAAAAAAAAAAAACAATATTCAACGACGTATTTCTTTGAACTCGAGCAGAGTTCGAGAGTTGTCTAACGGCCGTGACTTTATCTTCTGGTTTTAAAGTGTGCAAGATGTGGCATAGATTTATGGAAAAAGTGGCAGGTTAGTGTAAGACAGAACATATCTAGTTATACTGGCCGATGTAAGGTCAACCTTACATGTACGATTAGACCTGTCTGTGCCCTCTCAGTCACTTCCTTTTATCGGTCTGTGTGCGTGTGTGCACATGCATACACGTTTTTGTTTCTTTCCTTTGCTTCCTGATATGCTTGCATAAGATGGCACGAAGTAGAAGATAGAAACAAAGCTCCCTTGTCCGATTAGCGCAAAAGAGCATCACATTTTGCTCGTGCTCGGCATGTTATATTTTTATTTGATTGATGTTTTTTTTATTAAAAACAAAATAAATTTACATGGATGGCATCGAATTGCAGACATGCATTAATAAAAATGTGTTTATGGTATAGTGGAGAACCCTGAGAAAAGGGAAAATAAAAAAACGTTTAACACAACACAAGTTCTCAAATGCAGTTGAGTTTATTGGCACGGAAGCAACAATAAATGCCCTTTGAGACGAAAAGAAGGAAAGAGGATTAGCTTTTCGGGAAATTATTTTTCAGCAAAAGGTGTTATTGTGGAAACTCATCACAGTGAATTTGGTGTTGCCTAAGTCAGAACTTAAATCATCTTGATTTTTATTCTCCACCCTGAACTCAATCATTTTGTGGTAGATTAATTTCATGAAACCAATGCCTCCTTGATTTTGCAAAAAAGGTGCAGTGGTTGCACTCTTTAGAAGGCGGGAATGTTTCTCATTGAAAGCCAGCATGCAGCGTGATTGATACAAGATGTTAAATTTATTTCCTGGGATATATAAGAAGCGGAAAACAGCTAGATGACTTTCCTAGTCTTCCTCAGCCCTCGTGCAAAGTCACCCTCAACGTATCGGCTTGAAGAATCAAAGTTCCACCCATGCACGCCTCTGCCACCACAGCTTTCCACGCGAAAAAGCGCCGCAGGCTGCTAAAAGCGTCTCACTGTCGAACGTCAGCTCCTCCGCTGGTGGCACTACGCGCGTTTTTCAGGGTGCCCCCTATAGTTCCCGCACGGAGTGTATATTTTTAATAAAGTCAAATTATGCAACTGCTCGAAACCGAAACTGGACTGGGGAAGAAGAAGAAATATAGAGGAGAAAGTTACTGAAAGTCACATGGCTGTGCAACTTTTTTTTATCTCAATCAACGTATCTGCAACTTTTAAGAAGCCACAAAAGATGGGTATCATATTTTTTGTTCTATTTTTAGCATCGAGTGTGTGCCTTGAATAACCTACGGCTTTGATTATCGTTTGTGGTCTCTAAACCATAGAAAACGGCACGTGATCACGGAGAAAAGAGTGAGCATAGCTGAAACCAGCCAGTTCTCGATCGGCGGTTTTTAAGCGGAAAGAAAACGAATTTTGAGCAAATTGTTTTCTAGGTAGTTGGGCTCTCATGTGTCATGTACAAATGAAAACATTGATGAGCATCAATACCGTCAGTGTCAATTTAACTCACAAAATGTTTTACTTCTATAAAAAGACAAAATACCCAAATGCCTACTGGCACTAAAAACAAATGAAAAAAAAACAACAGTGAAACACTTGTTCTAGTGGCACCGATCACTTCACAATCAGCAGAAAGAGCTGACCTTTAGAGATAAGTAATGACTTGTTCACTCTAATCCCAGTGTTCACACAAATCCCAGGACATGTCCCAGGTTCGAGCCCCATGGGGGGCCCGAACCTGGGATGTGTTATCTTTGTATAAAAGCGTCTGTAATGCTCTCAGCAAGTCACACATTCATGACACCTGCTATGATGCTCATAGGAAACGCCGCACAAAACACGGTCTGCTTTAATAACTCAGCACGTCTCGATCATATTTGGTAAACTTGGAGACGGGCAGAATGTGTGACGAGTGAGCTGGGCACATGCTGCGTGTGATGTCCTGCTGTCTCACCATGTTGGGATATCAATAGAGCCCCAATATTACTTATGTGAATTTGGCCCGTGTGTTGATGAAACGTGTCGCTTTTATTTCTTACGAGACCTTGCCTGGTTGCAGCTGGACATCAGCACAGTGGCTGCCGGCGGGGGCTCCATGCTCTTCTTCCGGTCGGGGCTCTTCGTGGTTGGACCCGAGTCGGCCGGAGCTCACCCGGGGCCGGTCTGCTATCGCAAGGGTACGCTCTCGCGTCGCCAGACCCCAGCCAACGTCAAGTGACCCCTCCCAACACTGGGTGGTGCGTTTTGGGCTACGGCACCAACGTGAAGCGGCCGTAACGACACTCGTCCGTGCCGCTTCGCCAGCGCAGGGGGAGGTCGCTAAGCATTTTGCATTTGCATCCATCCTGGCTCGAGACGTCCGCGATGGCGCAGAAAGGCCGGTGGCCCGTGCTCAGGAAGTTTGCGGAGCCGCCTAGTTGTGGGGTCGAGATGTGGTGAATACGGACAGCTCGGTAAATGGTGGTAACGCAGGTTTACGATTGAAGATGGAAGGACGACAAGGACGCACAACGTACAAACTCGCGCGCACGTTTTATCACCGTACTTGCTCGCACGCCTGTCGACAAAGTGACCCAACGTCCTAGAGGTTGTTGGGAATGCTTATTTATTTATTTATTTATTTATTTTACCCTCAGGGCACATGGCATTACAGAGGGGAGTGGGAAAAATAGTAAACATATCTAACAATTGGAACAAAATATACAATACTTAAAGAACAGGGAACATGAAATTGGCAATACTTGTACAAAAAAGTGCGTGACCATTAATTGATGTGAGCAATGCAGGTAAGCGATTCCAGTCTTTGGAAGTCCTGGGAATAAAAGAGTCATAATAAACGTTAGAGTGGCAAAATGGGACACCGACTTTGTGACGATGATCAAGGCGTGCTGAAACAAAGTAGGGGGGGATGATTAGTTGTGATATAAAGGGACACTGACAGGGTATTTATGCTCGCCAAGGTTTTTAGTTGTACGTGACATATGAGAGCTCAACTACCCAAAACAGAATTTGCGGCTCGAAATTCGGTTTCTTTCCGCTTGAAAACCGCCGATCAAGAACTGGCCGGTTCGAGTCTCGCTCACTCTCTTTTCCGCGGTCACGGGCCGTTTTCTAAGGTATCGATGCGACCACCAAATTTAATCAAAGTCGTGGGTCACTGAAGGTACACACTCAATATTAAAAATAGAAAAAAAATATGAAACCCATTTTTTGTGACTTCTAAAAAGCTGCAAATACGTTGATTGAAAAAAAAATGTTCCACAGACAACCGGAAGCATTCTGTGCGTTCATTGTTTCGCGTATCGTGGGACTCGCGGGGACGGCGTGGGACCTCTATTTCAGAACTGTCGTTCGCGGTACCGGCGAATTCTGTCAACCTTTAAAAGAGAAATTCGGGACTGATCAAAAGAATAGGTATTCATCCCGTACGACACGCCCAACCACCAAGCCGATTTGCACGAAGACGTCGCCAAGCCGTCGGTCCCTTCTCGTGGCTGAAGACATCGCTCGCGCAAACGTCAAGCACAACGTGTCTACTTCGAGTTGAATATGCACGAGTACGATTTCTTTACTAGGTGCGAATGTCGCCAATGCGTGGTGCTTCCCGACTTCGACCCGGGAGTGCTTTTGCTAGAGGAAAATCGGCATCAAACTTTCCAACTTAGTTTACCGGCTGAATTATTACTAAGGAAAGAGATCCACCAGTAAGGAGTTGCCCCAGTAGCTCAGTGGGAAAGACGACCGCTTCATACGCGGTAGGACCGAATTCAATCCCCCGTAAAACCTTTTTTTTTTTTGACATTTTTTAATGTTTACATATCTTCTTTTTTTTTTTTTTTTACAATTATCACTGAAGAAACAAACAAATGTTGTGGACGACACTTCGCTGATTCAAATGGTATGGGATTTCCTTTTTGACACCTGCTAACTCAACCACTTTCCACTTCCCGTTGATCTTTCGGAAACTGTGTCGCACAATGCCCTTTTTTTTTTCGGGCGCAGGACATGTGGGCCAGCTCTTCACGCAACATCTTGGGTGTATTCTTTTTGGAGCCGATCATGGAAATTCACCACGGGCACTCACTACTCATCTCCAACTCCTCAATGTACAAAACAACTCATCTTGGAGTACAGAACAACGAGCGGAACAAACATAACTGCAAAAGAATCGCATGGCGAACAGTTCCCGTACGCCGCATGTCGTGTCGTCTGCTACCGAGAGGAGAAAAAAAAACAAAAAATACGCACGGTTGGGTGTAGCCACGTGACTTCCGCCACTCCCTCTCTTCTCCCTACTTCTCCGACCTCCGTTGGGTTTTGGTTTCGGTTTTGAGCAGTTGCGTCTTTTGGCTTTATTAAAAAAATACGCTACTCTGTTGCAAAGTATTAAGTGGGTAGTACTCCGACACCATAATAAAACGCCTGGCAAAAAATGAAAAAAAAAAATTTTGGGGGGTGTCAGATTTAGGTCATAGATTTATGAAAAAGACAAATACGAGAGACTGTGCAGCACTGACACCCCAAAGGTCGTATTATTTTTTATTGTCTAAAACGGGGGTTCTCAAACTGGGTTCCGGGGAACAGAGGGGTTCCACGAGCTGGCCTCATGGGTTCCGCGAATACCCAAATTGCACCCCCCCCCCCCCCCCCCTTGCCGCAGGCTGCACCATGCAAAGCACCTTCATCTCACATTGTACTGACATTGCGATTGACATGGTGGGGATATATGGGAAGCACCACAAGCAAAATTGCCTACAATTGTGCATCTGTTGCTTCTTGGTCGGCAAATATGGAGAGGGGGGGTGGGGGGTTCCGCGGCAGTTTTTGAGGCTTCCTGGGGTTCCGTGAGGCCAAAAAGTTTGATAATCCCTGGTCTAAAACGATGCAAGTTATAGCCATAGACACTAAAAAAAAAAAAGCAGATTGCAAAAAAAAATGACCCCGCGTGCGCGCGCTCCTTTTTATTTTTGGCGTTTGTATTTCCTGCGCCCACCTCTTTGCTTCTTTTGATCGGTGATGTCAAAAATCCGGAAATTTAGAAGCTTTGTAGGCGACATTTCTATAACATTTAATAACGGCAATCGTAAAACATGTTTTTTAACGGAATTGCGAACAAACTACGGCCCCTCTTTTTGAAATACCAAAAAATCAGATTTCGGTGTGATGCCGCTTCCTGGATTTGTATCCTCCCTCGGAAAACTTGGTGGCGCTCGAGCAGAGGCTTATCGGCGAGTCAGGGAAGAAACCGTTTTTTTCCCGTGCCGGCGCCCTTCTATCCCGCCTGGTCACCTCCTCCTCGCTTCGGGTTGCGGTGGCAGCGGCGGAGGTCCCAAAGAAAGTCGAGTTGCAGGAGACCGCAACATTTGACTCACTGCACTGGCGCGGGAACTTCAAATTCGGCATTTGGAAATTGTTTTTTTATTTCAGAAATACTAAATTTCCAAGTTTTTAATTTTGAGGGTAATGTCCCAGCATCTTTTTCAATCGTTTCAGATAATAAAAAAAAAATGATTTTGATGTGTCAGTGCCTTTTTAAAGGAAGCTCAAGTGGTATTGACTTCCGCATATGGTAAATTTTCATTATTATGAAGTCACTGGGACGGCAGAAAAATTTTATGCGTGTAGCGGTGATTTAACTAAAATCAGAGTGCCATAAAATAGCCTCGAAAGGAGACGGGAACACCGCCGAAGCTTAAAACATATAGGGGTGTGTTCAGAATAGAATAGTCATAAATGTGCCATGCCTAGGTTGTTTTTTTGTTTTTTTCAGTTAAATTTTTATGGCACTGCAAAACACATCCATACAACATGGACCTTTAAAAAAATGAATATTCCTTGTTTTCATTTTAAAAAATAGCGTCTGAGGGGAGGTGGAACTATGAATTTCCCCATTGCACATAGGTGCAGTTTTGAGGGCTGCGAGAACAATAGTTTTCTTCGACGTAAATATTTTTAAGCCTAAAGCACGCTAACTGGCCTACTAGAAGCAGTTACGTTTAGTTTATTTTAGTGTATGTTTCATGTAAAATATAATGACAAACTTCACCTCTTAAACAACTGTCATATTTAGGCATTCTGTGATTTTTTTAACAGGGATGAAAGTTTTTAGGCCGAAACTTTTTTTACAAAGTATTTCACGCTTTGTTCACTTTTAACAATAAAGTAAGCACTCAATTATTGTAAGTAGATTTTTTCATTGTGTCCGGAAGTTTTCAAAATATCGAAAAAGTCAAAGTTGTGCAAATTTCGTGTGGCAATTAAAAAAAAAAAATCATCCTATATTTCTTTTGAACTTCCTTCGACGAACCCCTGGAAATGGGTAATTCAGAATCCGCGGAAACATCTTGCTTTATATTGTTTTAAATTCGAAATATGAACATTTTGCAAGGTCTGCGTTGTTGTCAACTACTGTTGGAGGCTTTGTGTTCCAATGACTAGTGGTAGTCTAGCACGGCACGCGCAGTGGCCGTTGTTGGTCGCATTATCTCCCAGACACCACGGAGCATTATACGAGAAAACCTGCGAATTCTTTTTATTAGTTGAGCGGCTGATATTTCCTATGAAAACTGAACTTTGCTCCGCATTCGTTTCTTAGGGTGTTGTTGATTGTGCTGCACCGCTCTACTCTCCCAGGGTAGTATTTTAATGCGGCTAGCCTGTTAACAAAATGATTCAGTCCATTTATCTAGGCATCATTATACTCTGTTTACAAGTATGATGGATTGTAGCAAGCGTTACGAGCCATCTCAGGCAGTGTACCGTGCCAAGTGATAATGTGTCGCTGCGTTCCTCCCAAAGTTCATGTGACACTCGCACGACGTTGAATTGACTTGTAGGGCTCGTAGCATCATCTGTGGTACATATGGTAATGTAAAACGGAGCATATGAAGAGGAGAGGTTTAGGAACCTTACGCCCCAACCGATAAATAATAGCAGGTTGTGTCGAAGAAAAGAAAAAGAGTCATTAAAGTGGAAAGCAGGGTAGCATCATTTAAGGAGCATTGCTTCGTCGTGCAAGTAAAGCCTTTAGTGTTTGTAACGCCTCTGATCATGGGGTAATGTTTGCACCACAAAGCAGAAAGCTCTGTGCAGGCTCGAAAAAGGGGCTCCACAGAGGAGCTTCCAATCACATATGCTGCATGGTTATAAAGGATTGCATAAAGTGACATTGGTAGTT